GAAGGCTCTGATGCTGGGAAAGGTGGAAGGAAAAGAGAAGAAGAGGATGACCAGCAGCCAGGTGATGGACTCCGTTACAGTGGCGATGGGGGCACCATTGGAAGAGCTGAAGGACCAGGTTGGGGACAGATTGTCATGGAGAAAATCTATCTGTGTGGTTGCCAGGAGTCAAAAACGACTTGATAGCACATAACCAATCAATCAAGAATTATGACTGTCACTGCCAAAGAGAGAGATTTCAGTCATGCTGAAGTTCCAGTTTTAGTAAATACATAAAGGTTCACTTTCAAGAGGGTGCATGGGGGAACCCTCTAGCAGATGCATATTTAATGTGAATGAATGTATGAATGTAAGCTGACAGATAGGCACGCTACTGGTTTTGGCTTTCACTTATGGGAATGCAAATGAACCCAACCATTAATTGGGTCATTGCACAGGAGAATTGGTAAAATGTCTTGGGGCTTGAAATGTGCAAGTGCCCCTAAGACTTTTATGCCATTCTCCTTTGCATTGTTGATATCAGCTTTGTTTCAGACAGATCTTGGCACATGCTCAACCCTTACCTGTGTTTGTATTATAGACAGTAGTCCTTAGCACAGGCCTGCGAAACTTCTGTGTGCTCAGGAGCTCTGTCAGGCCTTGCTCATTATGTGAGAGTTGCATTCCAGAAATGAATACCAGGGGCCAATATGGAGGGAATTTCAGATATTTTAAAGTGCAAAATAGGGTCCTAAAGCATCACTGAATCTTAAGGAATCCATACCACTTTTTAAAATCACCCAACAAAACACAAATACATCAAAAACCTTTGGCTCACTTCTAGAAGCCACAAAAGAGATGCTGGCAGCCTGCTTGGGGTCACCAAGCTTCATTTTTTTCACCCCGTCTTGCATAGGATATCTGGGAAGACAGTTCCCATCCTGACTTAGAAGAACAGATGCCGCTACTCAAAAGAGACATCTGTATGTTGTATCACAGAGGAAACGACTGAAGTCTACACTAGCACAAATTATCTTTATTCAGTAGCCTGGGAGAATTAAATCTAGAAATAGTAGCACACAACTGGACGGGGAAAAACATAATGAAAGGATCCTTGGGTTTGAAAGTTTCAAGAGAACTCTCAGAGCAGCACAAGTTCTTCCATCACACAAGGCTACTTCCAGTGCTTTAGGACTGTACCATCTCCTGGAATTCTGCAGCAAAAAGAGAAACAGTTGGAAAATTTTGTGTGGATTTCTCTACAGTTCTTCAGCTGGAATAGTTATCCTACTAAAACTGAACTTTCATATCCAGAAGGAGTTCTAAACTCCTGACACAGATTATTGTTGACTTTGTTAGCATTTTTCACTGACCGCTGTTGAAAATGGGGTACTCGGAAACCTTTTTTCCACCATGGGTACCAAGGGGACCAGGGCAGAATGTTGAACGTTTTCTCTGTTGAAGCTAAAGAATTCCCAGTGAACAGGAAAACATCTCAAACTACCCAAATGACTCTTGGAGACATCTTTCTACAGCTTAGCTTTACTGTCAGGAATGAATCATCTCAATCCATCTGTTCAATTCACATTTTGAAACCAGAGTTTGGTTAGGAGCTCCTCCGTATATGGTGCCTGGAGCAATGATTCCATTCCTCCCCCAGCTTCCAAAAAGAACCATTTATTGATTGCATTTCCTCATATTTCTAGATTCAGGAGGGACTGCGTGATAGAACAAATCCAAGTCAACTGGGCTCATACCTTCAGCCCCAATTTTTCCATCTCCATCATGGTCTGCTGCCGCCAAAAATTTTTCAGTTTCTGTCGCTGTTAACAAGCGAGCCCCAACCTCAAACCTCTGGAGGAAATATCTAGGGAGAGGAGAAGAAAAGCAATTTCATGTGATGGTATTCTTTTGAGCTGAGTTCATGGTGTTAGGGGTGCCACACAAAGCCCCAGATCATTTGGTACTTTGTCTTGTTAGATGGCTTTCCATTAAGTCTTTTAACATTTTGTTGCTCTGAAATCTCTTGATTTATGATGAGAGTTATAAGTATATAATATGGGTAGAGCAAAGAGTTAAAGGAATGTTCTTATAAAAAGGTTATAACTCAAATTCAAAGATGTTTGCTTTCCTACGTTGAAAGATTTCTCACTGTGGAGATGCAATTTTAAATGAAGGCCTCTAGGATTTACAAATGAGAAAGCAGAGACATTCATTACCATTCTAGACAAGCCTATTAGGAAGGAAAGTCCAAATACTTCACTTGGGTTTCCTCCCAAGTAAGAACACATAGGATTGTACCTACTCCGTATATAGAAAATGAGAGGAGAAGGAGAGAAAAAAATTGTGGAGCATCCTCACTTGAGTTCTTCTTCTTCAATGAATCCATTTTGATTGCGGTCTAGGATTTGGAAGATATCTTTGAGTTGGCTGCTACTCTTTTTGGACATACCACTGAGCTGGAAGAATTTTCTGTGGTTGAAACTATCTGGAGCTAAGAGGAGAAGGGAAAAAGACCATTGTAATGTAGATCTTTGGAGAAAGGATAACTATCATCTTCCTTTCCGCCATCCTCATCGTATGCATTCTATTATTTAAAGATGCTCAGCTTATGAAACTTCTGAGTGCAAGGGGTTTAGATTTTGTTTGCACATACTTCTTCCAACATGCTAAACCCAATCCCCTCAAAAAAAAAATTATTAGTTTCAAGTCCTGCTTGTTGGCCCGATCACCATAATAGAATCTTGCATATTCAGAGAAACATCTCTTGATTCAAGTGATGTTTTAGGGCAAAAAGTGATGAGATGCCACCCTCCACCAATCCTGAAGAAATAAGGCCACATTTAAGGTGCAAGACACCTTCTAAATTGATTACCTGATAGTTACTTCATTACCAGAGTGGTCCCGCTTTTGGTTATTAGATGCTGGAAATTCAGCCTTGTTTGTACATTTCTCAATTGAAGACTCACAAAAACAGTCTTAGGCTGCATCTGAGCTCTTGGTCTGATCCAGTGAAGTGATCTTAGTTTATTTACCCCAATTTTGTCTTACCTTGACAATCTTGGAGTGCGGCGGCAATATCAGAAGGACTAAGGAAGTCACTAATGCTCATCTTGAACTCTGCCAAAGGAAAGTAAGGCAGTGCTGTTACAGGGAAGCACAAACAGTAATTTCACTCAAGCAGTACAAGAGGAATAAGAATAAGGGGAAGAAATGACCTTTTACAAATTGCTTTATAAATGTCTACATAACCACCATCACTCTTGTTTTTATACATCACATTGAAATTGTCCTTCCATCTATCCATCCATCCATCCATCCATCCATCCATCCATCCATCCATCCATTTTCCAAATATCAGATTAAATATCAGATTTTTCTAGCTTTGTAGTTTGTAGTTCATCCGAGTCATGACAATTTAATCGCACTTAAGAGTGGTGACACAATTTTCTCCTCCTCTCAAATGCTTCTGCCCTTTTTCGTTTCTGTAAACATCTCCCTTACACAGTTCCTCCAAGCACGGAAAATTGCAAATTGCAGCTCCATTTTACAAGGGCAGGTATATACTTTCTACTTACTCTCACCTGTATGGATTCACTGAACAGGGAAGATGGGGTCCCAAAGCACAAACAATTTCTAGCAAGGCTGCACCTTTGGCACACAGTTGTCTACCTAACTTATATAAGATTCAACAGGTGACAATAGCTACTTGGGTTACCTTTTCGAGGATTAGGTGCTCCATTTGAGACTGTGCTCAAGTGTCGCGCTTAACTAATGAACTGGGTTTTGTCTTCCCCTTCTATTTATACTCAAGGAGAATAGGATGGGAAGAAGTGTAGAGACTCCCAATCTGACAATATAGCAATGTGCTAAGCATGAGAATGGGTGTCAGGCCAACTTTTGTGGTTATTCCAAGCATCAAGGCCCACTAAAGCAAGGTGAGTATGAAAGGGAGAGATTGGTGCTCGATGCTTTGAACATGGAAGGATTGGAGCTGACATCTCCAAGGAGGTTTGAAAAGAGTTGTATCAGAAACTCCGCATAGCTCTTGTCAGTCAGCATCACCTGGGGACTATGAGCCAGATGAAGTCCTCAACCAACTTTCAAAAGGAAGGAAGGAAGGAAGGAAGGAAGGAAGGAAGGAAGGAAGGAAGGAAGGAGCAGAATATCAGGAGGTTCACGTTAGAGGTGCTATTTGCCAGATTTCAAGGGTTGACAACGCACCCACAAAGGGCCCACTCTGTAGGGTTCCCGTAGGGCACTGAGATTCCGTAGATTAGTTTCAAAGCAAGACAACTTCCTTCACGTGAGCAGCTTATTATGGGGCCTGGTGATCTGGGTTGCTATGGGAATTTTTCACGATTCCTACTGAATGGTCTGCGTGAGACAGTTATTTGAAAGCAAAGGAAACTATTCCTTCTTCAGAAGGATTTTGACAGAAAGGATGGAAAACATTCTCCCCCAATAAATAAATAAAACATTGAGAGAATACAAAGAATTATTCCAAGAGGATTTTGATACCCGCCACATATAAATCTTAAGCCTTTCCATTTTCAGTCTCATCCCACATTGATAATACATAGAGGTCTTACCCACATAGCGTGGATCCTGGGAGTGAAGGGACCATCAGTTGGGGCTGTATGGTTGAATTCCTAACAAGTAATTTGCATGACGCAGGCAAACATAAAAAAAAAATTAAGTCCCTCTTCCGTGGTTATCTCTGGCATAGATCTGTTATCCAGAGTTGTCTCCGGAAAGTCCTAAATCAAAGAAAGGGGTAAAAGTTCTGACTTTTTCCCGGTCCTGGGCTAGTGGAATTTGGCAGGGTGCTGGCTTGTAATCCAGAGATATCACGCAGGTCTTCTGATGGGTTGCTGTAAGATTTGATCACACTTTTCTTTTAATAAAGTCGTCTAACCTCAGCCTTTCCCAAACTGGATGCCCTTCAGATATTCTTCAATTCCCAGCATTCCCCAGCTATTTTGGCCATTGCTTGGAATTCTGGGAGTTAAAGTTCACATAGGACTTCCAGGATGACCAAGAACGTCCACCATATTTGTCCAGTGAATGCCATGAATTTCATTCACAAGGAAATGCTTTCAGGGCTTCAGTGGATAGAAGGATGGTGCAAAATAGGTGCCCCCCTCCTATTGCTTAAAACAGCCATAGCATGTCATTGCTTTTGATGGGAATCTACTCCCTACTGTAGACATTTTCCCACAAAAGTTGATGCTATGAAAATGTCTTGGTTTTTAAAGGGCCACTAGATTTTTCACTGCTATTTGCTTGTAATCTATCACAATCTCTCTTTAAAATCGGGCTATCAATTCAGTGAACTCCTTAAATCTTCCTAAATCGAAATTATGACATACACCATAGTATTATTTGTGTATTTATAGAGGTAATGCTTTTAACATAGACTGCCTTCCTGCTAAGGCATCTGAACCAGTTTCCTGATTTCAAATATTGAAAGGAAACCAGCACTACCAAATACTGTAATACAGTCAGGTTTTCTTGGGAAGATTGTGGAATTAAGTACTTGGTTGTATTTTAGGAGACAGTGATAAGTTATTGACTATACTTGCTGGGGATGAAGGGGGAAGTTTCTTCTATTTTTTTCTTCCTTTTTTCCTTTTTATTTCCTTTTGTTTTGGTTTTTCTCTGCACTTTTTAACTTTTATACGCACACACACACACACATATACATTATTTTTAATGTATTTCTGCAATAGGTTGTTGTATTAGTTCTACTTGTTTAATATAATCCTTAATAAAAATTATTTGGAAAAAAAAGTTTTCTTGAGAAGATTGGAGATCCTCTCCCACCATGACGCCATCAGCACATAGGCGTGAGACCGCCTTGCTTCTTCCTAGGAAAATGTCCAAATTAGAGACAGTTTTTGGAGTAACGTTATAGTTCCAGCCACTCACGTCCTTAAAATTCTGCTCGATCTGCAATTTGAAACCAACCGTAGATCCGCCCTGCTGCTCTAGCTGCCGTTTGATATTCTCCATCTCATGATCGTCAAAACAGATCATCTAGAATCACCATGGTGACTCAGTAACACTATCCTACGGCTGTCAGTGGTGTAATTAGGGAGAACCATCTTTAATTGTTGAATTATTTAGGCTTTCCTCTGTTAATTCAACAGTCAGATGGCCCTAAAGATTAAGGGATGTTTAACCATTTAGAAAATATCTCTCAAGAAATTGGTGAAAAAGCTGCAAGTATCCGGCTGTGTATATTGTTACGGGTACCTCTTCTAGGATTCCAGCACGCTGTGGGCCACCGACTTAAAATAATCATCACAGCACATATTAAGAAGAAGCTGAGTTTGTGGTGCTGTTGAAAGGAATAGTTGCTTAGAACAGCAGGACAGGCAAAATTAGTTCTTGTTTATGGGATACGTCTTTAACTCTTTGCCAGATAATGCAGTAGAGCAGTGTTGTCCAAACTTGGCCACTTTAAGAGGAGTGGACTTCAACTCCCAGAATTC